ACAAACACGGTGGGATTAATTTACAGCCTCTGGCGTGCACATGTCCATGTACTTTGGTGCAAGTGCACACATTTACCCTCACCTTGTGTTAGGATTGTAAAAGATTATGCACTGGTGTTTGCATCTGCAAAACCTGGGTTTACATATACGGATATACACACAGATGAACGCACAGCTAAGAATGTGGCCCAATATATGCTCTTATTTTTTTTTAAAAAAAAAGGCAGAATTTTGCAGCGATTGTATGAAATGAATGCTTAATGTGCACAAGTCGTTATGAATACTATTCAATTGTAATAGATATGCCAGAGAGAGCTGTCAAGAAGTTGGCAGATCTCTGTGTGATGCCTAGTGCTTTTCACTGCTGGATATGCCTCAGTATTGGTGGTATCTGTACTGTACAAAACATTCCCTAAGAACATTGCTGTTGTGCAACTGAATTTTCCTTGCCATGAACAGTTATAATTGTATCTTTTTATTCTGGACAAAAAAACCCATATTTAAATCTAGTCCATAATTTTGTGATAGGCTGCATTATGTAATGAAACTTGTAATAGCTAAATGAATTTACCCAAGGAATTCAGTACATGTGTATTTGCCACCCACACCTATTTTAATGCAGAATTGCTTGGCGTTGTTTTTCCTTTATGGAGTTGTAGCCTTGAGTTCAGAAGGGACCATTGTAATCATCAATCTGGTCTCTTATACATTGCAGACCACAGAACCTTAGTTTGTAGGAGGGCCATAACCTCTGGCTGAGTTACTGAAGTTCTCCGTATTGATTAAGTGAAGTGCAAACTGCTATCCTGTTTTAAGAAAAAAAACAAGTGGGAGGGGAACAAATCACTCATAAAACATCATATTTCTGAAGCTGGCTTCTTGAGTCATAGAGGGAAAACAGTTTGTTCCACTTTAGAAAAGGACCAAGTATTAATATGCAAAAAGGTTAAATAGAGATGATGTTAAGAAAAAAACAAGTTAGGTAAATAAGGTTACTCTCTATGGAAGATACTGATTAAATAAATCTCATACAGGTGGCTTGAAACCAGATGGAAATAGTCTCCTTCTTTTGTTTTAGGTTACAGCCATCCATCTCTGATAAAACTTCTCCAGCAGCCACAGAATTTGGTAAGTGGTTTGTGTAAAAGACACAAAATAATTAGTCAGTCTTTCACCTCTCTCACCCTTTGTATTAGCTTTGAAAAATAGCTCGTTTGCAAATTGATTTAGCATATGAATTGACTTTTTTTGTACTTCACTGTTTTTTAAAAAGCTCTGTAATATTTAAGGACAACAATAAAGACTTTATGTAAGTTCCAGAAGAAGACTGTTTGGGGTGGCATCTTTTTGCGTCACTTTGTACATATTTGAAAGAGAGAATTCAAAAAGATGTTCCCTTCAAAACCAGACTGTTTAAAATTAATTATTTTGGATGTGTTCTGGAACAAAGCCCATTGACTGAATCTATAGGCAAGTTTTGCTTACTTGGAATTTAGAACGATTCCTTGAAAGAAAGCAAAAAATCTATGCTATCTTCTAGTCACCGTATGAAAATAGTATTTAAATCCAGGATCCTGGATTTTTATCATGTCTTGCTCACAACTGTGTGAGAAGAGGTGTCATACAGGTTTGGTACACTGTTACATACTTGCAGAATTAAAACAAGAAGTTTAATGCAGCAAGAAATTATTTTTAAATGCTGATGCAAATATGTTTCAAGTTTTGTCATAGCCATGTCAATTCCAGGATATTAGAGAGACAAAGTGAATGAGGCAATATCTTTTATTTGACCAACTTCTGTTGGTGAGAGAGGCAAGCTTTCGAGCTACAGGGAGCTCTTCTTCAGGTCTGGGAAAGGTATTCAGAGTTTTATAGTTAAACAGATGGTGGAATAAATAAGGACTTAAAGTTTTTCAAGAGACCATTCCAGGTGATACAGACCGTTAAACATTTCTACAGTTGTAGGACAAAGGAGGGTTTGAAGCTTACAGATTATTTGCAATGAGCCATAATTTTTGTCTTTGTTAAGGCTTTGTGTACGCTGACAGATGTAAAACTTGGCAATTAGCGGCAGTTAACTGCGCTGCTTACAGAGCGCAGCAGTGAAACCACTGTTGTGTGGTTTCACATAGTCAGCTGCTAGCGTGCATCGACATTCAGAGTGGGGCACGTTGGGCAGCCTTCAAACAGAGCATCTCTTACTTTTCGGCCACTGAGGCTTGTGGGAAGGCAGGGTGGATGTCACAGGGAATCCTGGGTCCTGTCCCAATGTTCCATGTTGCACTGTTTTGCATCCCAGCAACCCCGCATTTGGCACCATCTTTCATTGGCATTTGTGCTGTGCACTCTGCCTCCTTGCTCTGCAGGAATGGATCCCAAACTGTTGAAGAAAATACTGACAGGTCTCACCAACACGTCACAAATGGCAGTCAAGTTATTTCTTAAGCTACAAAGTGATGATGAAGAATCAGACACTGATCTTGCCACACAGAGTAGCTATGACACAAGATTTCTTGTGGCATTCATGGATGTTCTGACCACAGTGGCATGCTGCTTTGGGGCTCATAAAATAAGCACTGAGAGGTGGGACCACATCATCATGGCTGATGAGTAGTGGCTGCAGAACTTTCAGATGAGGAAAGCTGAGCTCACCTCCTCCCTGCGGTGCAAGGAAAATGAGAATAAAACCTGTCTTGATGGAGACGTGTCATTGTTTGCACTGTGAAATCTGGCTACTCTGGACAACTACTGATTGGTTGCTAATCAGTTTGGAGTTATAGCTGTATGCTGTACCATCATCTTATGTGTGAAGGGAAGAGTGAAAGCTTCACTGGCACTGGACCACTGACGCTGAGAGTCTGGAGGCAGAATTTAAACAACCTGAGACCAGGGCTGTTAGAGAAGCTCAGCCCAAGACCATAAGGATCAGGGATGCTTTGAGGCAGCAATTTGATGCTGAAAGTCTGTAATATTTGTTGCCAGGCACAGGAGTGCAGTAGCTGTGAAGCTAATATGTGACCCTGACTGGTCCCTATGATGCACTTAGTACAAAAATGCCTGTTGCTTTGCTGGCCGTGCTTGCTTTTATTTAATGGAATAAAGATTGATTTCAAACCTAATAATTTCATTTATTATAAACAACAGACATAGAACATACATGCAGCATGACACATCTGCGCTTTGGGGAGGAGAGGAGAAAGGGAGAAGGTGAGGCCTGGCACATTTATAGATTTGTCCGTGTCCAGATATTATATGCAGCCTTGCCATCTGATGTGCTGTGCAATGGGTGCTGCAGTTCATGAGGGCAAAATTGTCTTGTGATGAGGGTTGCATGCATTGCGTGTCTATGGGAGTCTGCACGGATGAATGGTGAAGGGGCAGGTGTGGAGTGCAGTGAGTGCTGACTGGGGACAGGATGGTGACCAAAATGTGTTGGTGATGACAGGGGAGTCCATGGAAAATAGTTTTGGGATACTGGCTGCATGGTGGGTGGTCACGGAGCTGCCCCCTCTGCAGTGCTAGCAGCACCTGGAGTGTGTCTGCTGGGCACTCCATAATGATTAAGAGCAGCTCTGTGGCTTCATTCTTCTTCCACTCCCTCTGCTCATTGCCCCTCTCCTCCTTCAGTTCATTCTTTTCAGCAGCAGCCTGAAGCATAACACCACACAACAAGTCCTCTTGACTTTTCTGATGCCGCCTCTCTACTTTGTGCAGCCATTCAGCCAGTAATAGCAAGGAAGGCTGGGATCCCAAGGGTCAAGCTGTGAAGCCAAAATACAACATTTTACAGAGGGACCATTGTTAACACTAGGCAGAGCACTACCATGATCCATTTTAAACACCAGCGCTGTTCACATTTCTAGCACTGAATGGCTGTCCATCATCATCATCAACAACCATGAGCTCGACGCCCGTTGGTGTCCAATGCCTCCCTCACTATTTCCTTCCACCTTTCACTGTCCAGCTCGGAGTGGCTTAGTTTCCGTAGACTGGCTCCGCACCAAGCTACTATATCATCTACCCATTCTCTGTGGGGTCTGCCTCTCCTATTCGGACCATCCATTATGCTGAATACTAGGGACTTAACTTTTCGCTCGTTGTTCATTCTGCAGGTATGCCGAGTAGCTGTAACTTCCATTGTATAACCTTCTGCGGTAGGTTCTCTTTTGGCTGTATCTTCCTATATAATTCCTCATTGGTGACCTTCTGCATCCGTCCTATTCTCAGGATCTTTCTATAACAACGCCTCTCGAACGCCAATATCCTTCTCTTCAAATCTTTCGTTATCACCCATGTCTCATATCCGTACAACATGCTGCTAAATACATACCTTTTCAAGATGCTCAGCTTCGTTCCTAAGCTAATTGCTTTTCCAGATCTTATCCATTGCCTTCAAACTCACTCTTGCTTTTGCTATTCTAGTTGCTATTTCCTTCTAGTCTCGATCATACGTCATGTTGCTCCCCAAATACGTGAACTTCTCTACGTTCTCTAGTTCAATCCTTTGACGGGGTGAGGTCACAGATGACCCCTTGGGGGTTCCTTCCGGGGTGCTGACCCAGCCACTACCACTCTCCTTCCTGTTCTCTGGGGCTCCTTACCACCCAGTCCTGCTGGGCCAGCTCCCTGATCTCCCCCAGCCAAGGCCCCAAGCTGAGGTCCCTGCCCCCACCGAGAAGCAGCACAGACACTGAACCTCCTCAGGTCCAAGGAGAGTGCAGTTTAGGGCCCAGCCTCCTGGGGATAGCACTCCCCAGATGGGATCAAACCCCAAAGAATTAGCTAAGCCCCCTTTAGCAATGCAAGGGGGAATGTACACGCTGGTTGCCCTCCCCAGGTAACAATCACTTCCACTGGGTTTGATAGAAAATAAAAATGGTTTTATTAAGTTGAAGCAGTAGGATTTAAGTAGTAATAAGAGAAAGTAGGCAGAGCAAAGTAGGTTACAAATGAAAAGAAACAAAATCGCTTGGCTAATTCTAAATGGAAACCTCAGTACAAACTTAATCAAACTCACTCTAAAACCTCTTTTCCAGCTGCCACTCTAAACCAGGGCTCTCCTCCCCACCCTGGGGTCTCAGGCGCCTTCCTTCAAGTGCAGCCCAGCCAAAAGACCCAGGCCTCTGCTTTCCTATTCCTTTTGTTAAGGATTGAGGCCACTCCCTACCAGCCACTGCTCAGGCTGAAGAGCAAAAGAGATAATTTAACAGTTCAGGGTAACACCTTCCATATCTCTCATTCATACGTTTGAAACTCACAAATTATTCCCCACTCCCTGTGTCTAATTTTACACACACAAATGATACATACAACAGAGTAAGATAAAGAGAACCAGTGGATCATGACATGAAGATTGATGGGTTCCCCAAATGATTCACTCAAAACACTTGAGATATGTATATTCATGTCCATGAGTCCAGTTCATAAAGCATAGGGGAGGGGGGTCCATCACAGATCCCATCTACACTGATCTTCCTTCCTATTTTCTTATGTCCAAATACTATTTTCTTCGTTTTATCGAAATTCATAATCAGCCCATTCTGTGGGTGAGCATATATAAGATACAAGATCTCCAAAATGGTGAGTTAAGCACTGGAGCAGGGGACTTAATTGGTGCACAGCCTTACTATAGTCTGAGCAGATGTGTCTTAGGAAGAGCCAGTACTGCAGGGGAGCCTATTATCAGAGTTCTTTTTTGCCATGTCTTACTGGGGCTGTGTCTACACAGTGGCGTTATTTCGGAATAACTGGCATTATTCCAAAATAACATAGTGTGCATCTATGCTACAGGCCTTTATTTTGAAATAATGTTGAGTTGGAGGACTTCTTACTCTAACTCACAGTATCCCTCACTATCCCTCATTTCACGAGGAGTAGGGGAAGTTGAAGGAAGAGTGTTCTTCCTTTGATTTCCTGCTGTGTAGACAGCACTAAAAGCCGAGTTATTTTGACTTCAGCTAGGCAGTTGACATGGCTGAAATTATGTAGCTTAATGTGACTTTAGCCCTGCTGTGTAGATGTGCCCTGGAAGTCCAGAGTTCCACAATCTTCATTTTTTTAAAATGTCATTACTATTGACATTTTAGCTTGCATATATAGGTGGGTGGATGGGATGATGAGCTGAATTA